CTATTCTTGATGGGGATATAACCTGAATAAGGAAGAGGAATTCTGACGGGACAGGGAGGAGGAAGGGGATGAATAAAAAGAAGAAAGGAAAGTGGAGAGGAAGGATGGAAGGGCATAATTAAACTGTTAAAAGAAAAATATAAATAGGGTTAATGGAGACAAACTCAAAATGCATCTCTCTTCCTGCAAGTATCTATGAACATAAAGGTGGGGGGTAGGGAGGTAGGGAGGAGAGACCCTTTACTGTTAACTTGTTCATCTGAGAGGTAGTCTTTGGAAAGTGATGAGATTTTTTAATATTTAAGATTTTTCAGTGATACCAAACTCCCCTTCCAAATTAAAAAGGATTCTAATAAATGGTTAGAAAATTTTCAGTAAACACATTTTTTGAAGTGGAATTGGCTTCATTGGCTTTCATCTGGAAAATCGCCTGAAATTGGCAGTGACTTTTTTTTTTGTTTAAGTAGTTACACAGGAAAGTGTTCGAAAACCTCGAGGCCACTGCCGGATGCTCCAAAGTCAAGATCCTCCGCAGACAGGAAATGCCTCTGCCAGCTCCAAGGTCTCCTCCCGCAGTCCTCTCTATTGTCTGGGGAGATTTGTGTACCTCTGACTGAAAAGGTTTCCCGCCTGCAACTGTGAATCAAAGAGCTGTCTCAAAAGTAGGGAATCATTGGGGTTTTCTAGCTTCTCTGGGTAACACCTGGCATCCAGTATGTGCCAGGTATTATGCCTCCTCTCAGGTGAGCCGCCCACCACTCTAGGAACTGAGGGACTGAGGCTGAGAATTTGTTTCTCAAGGCCCCCAGTCAGCAAGCAAGGTGTAGGGGACTCCAACTGCCTTGCCCTGCTCTTTTTCTCAAAGATATAACTCCCTTGAGATAGGGTTCCTTCCCTACAGCCATGTCTGAAGAGGGAGCGGAGATGTTGGATCTCAGATATTTTGGTGCATGGGAGGAATCTCCAAAGTGCTTCTCATCTGGATTTAACAAAAATACCAAAAAAATGTATCAAGGGACAAAATCAGATTAGACACGTACAGAGTCCAACTGAGATTTTATAAAACCCCATGAAATGGGATGAAAAATAAATGTCAGTACAACATGTGATTATTTTGATCCCAAGATACTGAACTCCTAACCATTTAGAAGCATCCTGGGTGATGTTTGTTCTTCCACCTTCTGTCCCATGGTGTTAGTACTCACATAAATATCATCTGCAGTCACAGATTTAAAGGATCATTATTATTAGATTTTAGGAAAAATCAAAAGGGTGAGCTTTTGAGTTCACGTCTTTTTCCATAAGTCAGTATAACTGGAATGGGAATTTTGATAAATGCATTCTGTCTCCAGCAAAATGCATTTTCCCCAAGTCCAAATACATTTTCTTGAATCCCTGTCCTGCCTGCATTAACTAAGATGAATATTCACAATAATGAAACCACACACACACAAAAAAAATCTTGGTCAGAGATGTTGAAAGAGAATAGGTACTTTCCCTATCAGAGATGGTTTCCTTTTTTCCCACAAGATGTCTTATCAGCTTTCACCTGAGAAAACCATAAAAAGTAAGAAAAAGAAGACTTATGCAATAGTTTTCTAAATAAAATACTACACAGCAGGCTAGTCATCCCTAAAAGTGATGTTGTTTAAAGAGTCAAAGTACATCATCCAACAAAATCGATATCCTATTAAGTTAGAAAGGGTTCTGAATATCAAAGACCAACGAACTGAATAACTCAAAGTATAAGTACACGACCCAGGGGATTAATCACACACTGTCATGGTGAAATTAGGGCAATTCTTCCAATCATTAACGTTTTGCTTACAAAAATGTGCTTTTCTGTTTGTCTTTCTGCTAAATGATAACCGTTTTCAAGTTGAATCTCCTGATAAAAAGAGTTAAAAACAAGACAGAAGTTGTGCTGTAAAGGTCATACATGCTGCTTCAACATGAAATAGCCAGAAGACAAACAAATGAAAAATGCCTGGATTGTAGGGAGAATTTGTAAATATTCATTGGCAATCTGCAATGGGGCACTTTAGAAAAGTTAATGCCAACCTGTATCCTGAGAATACTGTACCTCCTCCAGTTTACACGCTCTTGATTTTTAAGGACATCTTTAGATTCGGAATATGAGCAACTTGAGGAGAGTTAGAATTAGCTTTAAATTGGAAAACAGCTTGGTTTCAGGGAATTTTTTACTTAAAAACGAGATTTCACCCCTCAAGTTTTCTAGTGCCAATCAATACATAAGCCTGTATTTGTCTGCTTAATAATTATGATACAGTTACTCTCAAGAATAAACATTAACCAGAGGTTATCTGCAGAAGTGAAACACACACACAGATTTCAGGATTACTTTAATTCAATATTAGGTCCACAAGCCTTTCATTCTCCAAAAATCTGATAGTCCCATTTTCAGACAAGACTGACTATGACCTTTGAAACCTTGACTTCAGGGTCAGGAGCTTGGAGCTGCAACTGATGGGAAGGGAAACTCTCTGTTTCCCTCAGTAACACTGAAGGGTTACTTTGGGCTCCAACATTGAGGAGATATGGGGAGCAGGGAGAACAATAAAAATAAAGAGAATGAACTGAGTGGGGAATTTGGCTGGAAGAGGTCAGGTAAGTCATACGTAACTAGACCATATTTATTCTGTGGATGAGAGAATTGAGTCCAAAAACCAAAACTCCAACCCAAATCTCCAAACTTCCAGGACTATCTGTACCTCTCTGCTTGAGGACCAGTACTAATTTCCTCAGAAATCTAAATTCACCTGCAATTCCAGGGGCCTTCTTGGAAGGTGAGGTAGGATGTGACAACCTCCTAAAAGCAATGACTTTTACATTCTGTCTTCACTTAAGTGTCCATGTCTGGGAAGTCACAGCCCTGGTCAGCCAGGCCAGAGGTAGGGGTTCTTCCTTCACAGGCCTTCAGCTAGGAGGTACCCAACTCCACAAGAATTAGAGGCCTCCATGGAACTCAAGGCTAGAGGGAGAGATTTCTGGGCATCTCCCTCCACAGGTCTCTGTCATAGTTTTCCTGGATGTCAATGACCTGATGGCTCAGCTATGCTAGCTGCTGAAAGTAGGCTAGTCGTACCTGGGACAGTCAGAAACAGCCCTTCCATTCTCCCTCATCTTACCGTAAGCCTTGCTCGACTCTGCGCCCTCGTCTGCACCCTGGACACGCTCAGCTTCCCTCTGTTCTCCCTGCCCTGCTCCTCTTAGCCCCCCACCCCCACCGCCGCCGGCGGGGCTTACACGGCCGCAGGCAGGCGGGAGTGCGAGCGCAGCGCTGGCCCCGCCTGCTCCTTCCACACACGGAGCACCTTAGAGCAGTGGTTCTCAAAGTGAGGTCCCGGACTGGCTCTGGCATCACCCGAGCACTTGTTAGAGATGCAAATTCTGGTCGCAGCCCAGATCTACCAAATCAGAACTGCCGGCAATGAGTTTCACCAAGCCCTGCGGGTGACTCTCAAGCTCGCGGAGCGTGAGAACCGCAGTCAGCGCAAACTACCTCGCCCGCTCCTCGGGGCCAGGGTACCCCATTCCCCCCGACACGGACCTCCCGCACCCCCCAGCGCGGGCCTCGCCGCGCGGTGCTGGCTCCTGAGCCTCGGCGGCCGCGGGCTGACACAGTGTTGACTCACGCCGGTCAAGGACGGCGGCCCGGGCCAGCCCGGCAGCCGAGGCGAATCGATGGGGCCC